GTAATAAATAAAATTCATTTTGTCCAATTCAAATTGGAATACATTAGCATAACCAAAACCCTAATGTCTTTAAAAATATACAAATAAATCTCACTGCCACATTAAAAATAATCCCATTCAATTCTTACAATAATTCTGTAATTACTTTCCAGAAAATGGAATTAAAAACACATAAAGTAGTCAGTGAGCTAACCTCTCCTGGCAGTTCAGACCAAATTCCAATTTATCGAAATGACCAATTCAAAGTTTATTTTTAAACTGCTGACATGTATATAAGTTTCCAGTAATGGATGCAAGGCCATTTTTATTTTGGTGTAGATAGGAGTCATGCGGAGTCAAATATCTGCATGGAATCGTTACTTAAAAGACAAAATAATCTACCATTCTTGAAGGCCTTTAGGGTTTGTTAACAGAAGGTTACCCACACACAGGCTGACAACTCAGTTTACTAGGGCTGCATGGAAGGTGGCAAAAAAACAGCGTTTTCATGGTCTCCCTGCCGTGGTTTCAACCCAAAAGCTGGATGATCTCAATTCAAACTGGCCATGGGCAATAGCAAACCTTGAGCTGAAAACCCACTTAAAATACCAACTTCAGAGTTTGAAAACTCTACTGATATCAAATGAAACAGTGCTAAATAAAGAGTTGTTAATGTGTGCAAGAGGCACCTCCTCCCCCCTCCTATAGTTAGGTAAATTCAAGGTGTATTTTTGGTTTAACCTAGTTTCTTTTTTTCATCACTGAACATTCTATTTTGATGTGTAGTGTCCTGGACTTCCTGTTACTACATCTTGATATTCTCCTGCAAATCATGACTCATTCTTAAATCATAGAGAAACTCAGCAAAATCCCAAATTTCACACCACATATGAATTCAGTCTTTCAAGAGGACAGCATTCTTAGAACATTACTCGGAGCCACAAAGACAAAAACACTGAACATGTCCATGTCGAAATTATGTCAATCTACTGTTGAATCAACACATTTATTAGATCAATAAATACAAGCTCTATGTGTGGTCACTTTGGTCTTCATACTAGTTATTAAAATGCTGCACGATACGTAAAGTGAAAATGAGTTACAAAACAGAAAGCATAGTGTGACCGCAATTAAAAAGGTTACATGTGTGCATGTGCGTGTATATCTGTGTATGTACACACACGCACATGCATTTATAAAACCAGAAAAATATACACCAAAAGTTAACAGTGGGATTATGGGAGATGTTTATATTGTTCTTAGTGACTCTCTAAATCTCCCTATGATAATTCACATTCATATTTTTATAACAGAAAAAACAACAACTAACCTTTCAAAATTGTGTTATGCTAGCGTGGTCTCAAGTGTATTATAATTCAAACTATGAAGGCAAAGAGGAATTATGGATAACTAAGGCATTAAAAAAACAACAACAACAACTCTAGCCTGAAACATACAGAAAAATCTGACAGGAGTGGGGCCTTCATTCAAATGACCTGGGCCACTCACGTGTATGTGTAGGTGCAGGCCCTTAAGAAGGGGAGAAGCCAGCTGCCTGCAGCCAGGGCACAACCACAACGGACAGAGAACGGATTTCTTCTAAAGTTTAATGGGGAACCCCAGGCCTGGGAAACATGGAGATGGCTAGGTCACTCTCTAGGGCTGCAAAGGAGCAAAGCTATTTTAAGTGTTTGGGTTTATCAATAGGGAATGCTCTACAACCATACTGGTTTTTGAAGCAGATAGATATATAAATATAATTGGGTAGCACACGACATACAAAACTCAGTATCTGACAGCTAGGAAAGGAGTATTTTAAATTTATATGCACTGCCTGGAAGTCCTTTAAAACCAATTTCAGGAAAAGATCCAAGTTCCAAAAACTTATTACAAATATAAATTCCGATATATGACCTCAGAGTTACATTTACTGTATACTAGCACTTTTGAATTATTAAATTTTTTTTAAATAAGAAAGAGAGGAGGTCTTTAGTAAATGTTTAAGAAACTTCAAAATCCAAATGGGGCTAGAAAAAACAACAACATATCACTGCTCTCCCCTATCTGGGCTATTGCCATTCTGGTCCAAAAAAGCATTAGCACCAAGGGAGTGAGGTTCAGAGATGGTCTAACAGGTACACCGCCACAATGTCTTCATTTACATGTCGCGCTATTGCATATTACTGACCAAAAAGAGGGAGAAAGGGAGAAAAAATCCGTGCATATGTGTTAAATATAAGGCAGAAAAGGGCAACTGATGAGTTTTAAATGTCCTCTTCACTGAATGAATGCACATAAAAGAGTTATCATCATCACCGTCATTAATGGGAACAAGAGTAGTTCAATCTGGAAACTACTGACAATTTGGGCTGGAAAATTCTTTTTTGGCGGGGGGCGGGGGGTGTCCTGTACGTTGTTGGCTGTGTAGCAGCATCCCTGACCTCTACCCATAGATGCCAATAGCACCCCGGGATGGTTATGACAACCAAGATGTCTCCAGATACTGTCATATGCCCCCTGAGAGGCAAAATTATTCCCAGGTGAGAAGTATCCACATAATAACTTGTTGGAATGAAGGCTTCTAATTACCTCCTTTTAATTTCGAAGGAAATGGAGTCTTGAGAGAATATTTACAACCTCCGTCCTTAAGAAATGCTCATGCAGAATGCTGTTAGCTTCGCAAAGCTTCTTTTCTTATCTATTTATTGTAAGTCCTGTTATCCTACTCACGGCTCTCAATGCAACAATTTAGTGAGCACCTACCCTGTCCTGTGCCAGGCAGGCACAGTGTTAGGGACATCCCGTACTCATGTCCATTGACTCAACCTGGTCCGGCTGGTTAGGCTGTTTTTAGGACATGCTTTGCTACCATAAAAAAAAAAAAAATGCCAACATCTTAGAAACCCTCAAGACAGCAGAACATCCTTGTCAATAAAGGAGCCCTACAGTTCCAATAGGGTTCCTTCAAATTCTTTACCCTTTTTAGTAACTCTACACATCTCCATCATATAAAGGGTTTTTTTTTAAAAAAAAAAAGGGGGGGGGGGAGGCCAGAAGGCCCTTGCTATATTCGGCATAGTAATACCATCAGGGGTTTTTGCAGGCAGGATCATTACTGGAAACTCTAAAAACACTTATGGACCATCTTCTTAACTGTCTGACCCATGTGCCCTCCTAACACAATTTGTATTTTATAATGCCCATAAATTGAAACTCATAACTGACCTTTCCCAAATAAATGTGTCACACACGGAGAGAGAGAAAGGGAGACAGATCAGAGGGCATTGTGTCTGGCAACAAGGCAATGAGGCTCAGAAACCGATTTGAGCTCATTAATAGATGCCTGGAACATGCTTGGTTTCCCATCGAGGCAATAGAAACTTCACACACACAACTGGGAAAGAAAAACCTGTAAGTCCGAAATCCAAAGTGACTTCAAAGTTTTCAAAGACACGACCCTGAAAAGGCTCGGCTGGCGGCTGCACCTCGAGGTAAATAAAGCCGTAGCTTGTCTCCCCTCTCCAGCGCAGGGCTCGCCCGCCCGACGGTGGCTGCACAAAACCCCTCCTGTGCGGAGCAGCGGAAACTCCTAATGAGATTAGTTGGTGTGTGTGCAGACATTACTTAGCAATGACTAAAGGGGCTCTCTCTTCCTGCAGCAGCCAGTGGAAAATTCAGGGAACTTTTTCCCCCTGCAGCAGCAGAATCCCTTTAACCCTCTCCCCAGCCAACTCCAAAAACAACTCAGCCTCCCCCTCACACAAAGGAAACTGTAAAAGGCACAAATACATAAACCTGAGAAGGAGCAAACCACAGTTTCTTTGTGAGCTCCTCTAGTGAGTCATTTTCAAGATGCTGTCTGCTGCCAGTTTCAAAGCGGAAGCGCATGGCAATTAGTCTTGCAGTTTCCAGACAAGCCAGAAACTCTCCCGACACTCGTTTTATTTTTTTTTTCCGAAAAAGCCCCTTTTGCAGTTTCTGAAATAACATTTCTTGCTCCCACCCCCACCCGCTGCCTAACTGCAGCTTGTCCTCAGGATGATTCAGGTCAGAAAACATTAAAACCAAGACCTCTTCTTTTTCTCTTGGAACTCTTGCAAAATTTTTCATTTCCCCCTCCCCAAAAAGTGCAGTAGCGTTACAGGCCAACACTCCGTTGGAAGCCGAAGAGCCCCTTCCTAAGGAGCTGGCGGTGCCTAGACCATCTACTGTCCCGTCCTCCACAACCGTGTCCATCCAGGCTCCGCCGGCTTTTAAAGGTCCGGCTGGGCGTGCGCCTGGGGCGGTGACCCGACGGGGGGTCACCTGCCGAGCGCGAGG